CAGATACGCTAATAATTTTACAAAAGTTGAGGTGGTTGAGTTGCAAAAGCTGGAGCAAGATTAAAGGCATGAAGCTAGTAAAAGAGAAGAAAAGTAAACCAAAAAACAGCAGAAGGAAAGAAATAATAAACATTAAAGCAGAAATAAGTGAAATAAAGAATATAATTAAGTGGTGATGTTGAGGGTCAGTAAGTCTTCTGCTCTCGTCTCGTGCCGCACAAGAAGGGGGTAAAATGATAATAATAAGCATCGTGAGTTGGTATTTCTCTTGTGCTGTCCCCACACATTCTGGAGGAACTTAGAGCCTTGGAACCTCAGTCCTGGGACTCTGATGGCTGAATCAGAAGGAAGAAATCATGGTGGGAGAGAAAAGCAAGAGGAGTGAGAAAGAGCCTGCAGAACAGACAAATAGTTTATTTCAAAGCAAAGTGGCAGACATGGGGAATGCAGAGATGAATAAAGCATGCCCCCCGCCCCACCTTCAAGTGTACAAAGTTCTTGGGGAAGTCTGAAAAATAAATAGACATTATTAGTAATAGGGATCAATGCTATGGTAGAAGTATGCATAGCATGCTATCGGCAGTAACTTCTAGGCTTAGGGAGGGGGGTGACAAGGAACGCTTTTTAGAGGAGGCATTCCTTAGCTGAAGGAGCACTGGTGGCACAGTGGTTAGGTGATCAGCTGCTGACCGGAAGGTCAGTTGTTCCAACCCACCAGCCACTCCTCGGTAGAAAGATGTGATAGTCTGCTTCTGTAAAGATTTACAGACTTGGAAACCCTGTGGGGCAATTCTACTCTCTCCTCTGGGGTTACTATGAGTCAGAATCCACTCGATGGCAATAGATTTGATTTGGTTTGTATTCCTTAGCTGAAGGAGCTCTGGTGGCTCAATGGTTAAGCACTTGACTGCTAGCTGAAAGGTTGGCGGTTCAAACTTATTCAGCGGCTTCATGGGAAGAAAGACCTGATGATCTGCTTCTGTAAAGATTACAGCCTACAAAACCCTATGGATCAGTTCTACTCTCTCACATAGGGTCACTATGAGTTGATATTGACTCAACAGTACCCAACAACAACAACAACATTCCTCAGTAGAGTCTTAAAGGTTGAAGAAGCCAGGAAGAAATGATGGGATTTCAAGCAGAGGAACAGCATGGATTAAGGCCCTGTGGTATCAACAGTGGTATGTGTTTGGGATAGTAGTTCAATATTCCTGGGGTTTTATGTCTTGGGAGTAGGAGAAGTACCAGAAGAGGGGCCTAGAGTAGGCTGGAGATGGGTCAGGGTGGTTAATCTGAAGTCCTTATCCCTGGGGCCTCCAGGCTTGGTGTAGATGAGCCACCAGTAGAAATTGTATGCACATTTTATCTATATATATACACACATACACTTACATATGGCTCTTACTACATTTAGGTTCCACAGAGTGGACCTAGTGGACCTAAAGGAGACTAGGAACCCCAAGACTAGGTAATACAGTATCTTACAGCCCTCGAACAATATCATTAATATCACACACAAGTAAAATTTTGCTGAAGATCATTCAAAAACTGTTGCAGCAGTACA